CGTTTTCTGGGTAGCTGTGAACCTTACAGGATATTCAACCCAATTTTCTGGGTTTGGAAAATATTCTAAGCCATTAACTAACCATGAAGTTATGACTGCACAACTTGCAAAGTAAAATAATACTTCACTATGTTTCAGTGTGCTGTGCAACAATAAAGAGTGCGTTTTTTAATTATTTGTGAATTCTGGGATAACAATACATTTTAATAAATTTCCAGAGACAAAAGTTTATAATATTTAATATTATTTTATAATATTTAAAAATTTGCAAGGGGTATGAGAATATGGTCCCTGCTCACTGGCTCTTCACATATCTCTGCAGACACTGTAACAAGCTCTGTAGCAACTCTCTGTGCTGCGTTTTGCTGATAAGGAGCTGGGAATAGAAGGTACTTCAGGTTTTCATAGGACATAATGCTCATACGAGAAGAGAGGGGGTAGCAGAGACAGAGGTGGCAAAAGTGGGAGGGATGTCTTAAAATACCTGGGATGACATATTTACATTACAAAAAATTCTGAAAAGAAAAGGTTCAGGGAGATGCTGGTAAGCAGCTAAAGGTGCCACATTAGCTGGAATGGACAGACAATTCTAATAACTATTCAGCATGATCTTTGATCTTAATTCAGAGAAAGAGGAGGTAGTGATTTTTAAAACAAATTGGGCAGTTTTTGTACTGCTGAAGGTTCATCTGTGTCTCAGTGGGAAGAACTCCCTGAAATGTTCAAGAATGAGACCTAGAGGAAGAGTAAACAAGGAGGAAAAGCACCATGGGAGCTAACACACCAACTCAGATGGCATGAGGGCTGTGCCAGAAGATAAATGGAAGAAAGAAAATTTTAAAGATTTCCTATAAAAAGTTCATCAGCTAATTCATCAGACTGAGAAGGAGGAACATGGCCAACCAGTCCTGTAAACACTTTTCTTAAACGTAGAAAGGATAGTATTCTAGTATTTAGCAATGTAGAAAATGCCATGTATAATAAGTTCCTATTATAATTTGGAAAGAGATTTGTGTTTAGAAGGGTTTTCACCTAAAACAGTGCAGGAAAAATATTGCTTGTTTTGTATTTTTTCTTCAGGCTGTGTCAGCTAGCAGCAGGGAGGAGGAAAAGTAAGCAAAACAGTTAATGAGACTTGACCCCGCAAGCGAAGCTGCTTGACTGTTCTGATAAAGTTTGGCTGAAACTGCATTTTACTGCTTTTAAATACAGTAGTAAGAAAAGGGGGGGGGGGCTTGAAAAACTATGTGGTCCTGCCTCTTTCAGTCAGGTTTCTTGAGTCCATGCAGATACCTTGTTACAGTCTCATTCATATAAGATACAGTCAGTTTAAAAACTTATTGTACTGACTTATTAAAATTCATAAATATGAATTTTAGATTATTCACTTACTCGTTTTAGTAGAGCTATCAGATCTCAACTGAACAAATCTGAACGACCGCTAGATGGCAATAAAGAATTGGAGATTCTTGCATTTTCTGCTACCTAGTGGTTCTTTGCATTTTTGCAGCCCAAATCTGAAACAGTAAACCTAATTTTGGCATATCCGGTAGTCACGCCATCCTACTTTTAAGTAGAATGCAATGGGTAACACACCAGCTATTGGAGGAATGTAAGAAATAGGAGAAAATAGTTAATTTTTGTTGTTTCTCTGTTTATTGCCAATGGGGGACGCTTTATATTATCTTTTTTGCTTAAATTGGCAAACAACTTGTCTAAGTTTGGCTATGCGTCTTGATGGGCGAGATGGCAGGACGCATTTATTTACAGCAAAACAGCAGAATCTGTTGGGTCAGGTCTAAGAATGAGCTTGTTTTTAGCAAGATTTGCTTCCGAGTATAATAGAGAGGACACGTCATAAAGCTACTAGCGGAATAAACAACACAAAGCCTGAGGTCAGCGCGGTGATTAGTTGGAGCCTGGAACAGCAACACGGGCGGGGAAACAAAACGAACTGGAGAATTGGGTAGTCCTAGAGGAAGTTTGGCCTTCGTCCTTTGCCGTAGTTGCTCCATTTTGAGGGCTTCCCCCGATCCACGTTGCTCACGCATGCGTACTAGCGTTGCTTGATCACCTGCCACTTGTCTACGGGAACCGCAAAGAGGTAAAGCGGATGTTGGGGAGAGGGAGGGGTGGCAAGTAGAGGCGACCATTACGGGCCGCTCCCCGCATTACTTTCGTGGGGCTTCGAAGAAATAAAGCAAAGCGCCTTCGTGACCCTTCGATCCCCTGAGGCCCGTAAAAGGGAAGGCTTTCCTCCCGGCCGCTGCTGCAACCTCCCTTCATTTACTTCAGCCGGCCGCCGTCATGTTCAGGAAACTGAAGCAGAAAATCAGCGAGGAACAAACATCAGGCCCCCGAACCCCTGACGCCCGCGCTCCAGCCTTTCCTCAGGTACGCGGTGCGCCTATCTGGCGCGGAAATCGGAGACCGGTTCTCTTTCTGCCGGGAGATCTTGGGTGGTTTAAAAGGGAGGATGAGACGATTCAGAGGGGCTGGCTCCGGAATGTGTGCGGATCCTGACGTAATTTCCCGCCCCTCGACCTCCATCTGCGGGGTGGGAGGGACCACTGAAAGGGCTCAGGTGCTGGTCCGCTCCGCGCCGGATCCGTAAGGCGGCATTGTTTCAGTTTCTCGCTTTAGGACGCTTTGCATTGGTTATTAGCCACAGGGGCTAGCTCGCACTCACGCTTGGTTAATTTAGGTTGCCTAGTTTAAGCCTCAGGTTCTGCCTCTGCAGGACGTGTCCCAGCCTGGGCTGATAGTTGCGTTTGCATGACGTGCTGAACCCGCCAAAGAGCTCATTGCATTTTAGCCTAGTGTTGTGTGAACCCAGGCGGTGTGGCTTAATTTCAGCTATGGGCTCATAGGCTTATATACTTAAGCCTACCAGAAAGAATGGTACGTATGTGTGTGTGTATACAGACACACACAATATCCCAAAGTGTTCCTTTCCAGATGTGTCCCAGAATTCTCTGCCAGCATAGCCTTTTGTTTATATGAACATTGTGGTATTTGCTCCTGTGCAAGATCAAAGGCAACTTATTTATATGCCTCTTTTTATTATGAATTGATGTATATGTTCCAGTGATGTGCCTCTTGCTACGTTTTTCTCTGGGTGAACAGTTTTGTTGCAATCTTAGCTCCTTAAAACAGGATGTCAGGATGTAATTGTGATTACAGAGAATATGCTATATCTCATTTTAATAATAATGTGGAATAAATTAGCATATGAAAAATGGAGCTTTTTGAGAAACTGCCAAGAATGGAATGTTGAGTAGCATTAAATCATGCTGTAGAACAAGTTATCTTTCTTAGCTGTTTTATTGTTTAATGATTATTGAGTAAGAGTTATGTATTTAGATCCATAGTCCTGATGTTATATATTTTTTGCTATTTTCTGTCATGTCTTTTAAAATGGCTCTTGATATAAACAAGTGACTAACTAAATACTTATCCTGATATGACATGACATCTTTTCCATTATTCTTAGTGATGAAAAGATTGAAAAGAGCTGATTTGAAACCTACAGTACCAACACTGAAAATTTTAGTCAAATTATATAAGTTTCAAAGCAGTCTCCAAACAAAAGACAGTGGTCCACTCTTCCCTACTTAAAATCTGAAGTATTTAGTTTCATCAAGCTGTACAAATCATGTTTTTGTGTTATGTGGAACTTTTGCATTCTGAGGTGGCATACTATTAGATTCAGAAAAAAATGGCTATCAAAAGACAATAAAGTGCTGCAGTGGTAAGAATGCATAAGGCTGCAAGTGGAGAGTACCAGTTTTCGAAGGAACTGTTGTTAAAATTTCTTATATAGGAACTTGGCATCAAGGGAAATGGATTTGCCCCAGACTTTAGACATTGTTGGTTGTTTATTTGTAGAATTTTTTTAAATATGTAAAGGAGCATTAAAATATGATTGCCACTTACGGTCTACTTTAGTACTTTACTAACTTAATCTGCAATATGTATAGATCAGGGTTTTTTTTATAACCCTCTGCCTCAGGCATTAGCAATAGTTTGGGGTAGCTAATTGTAACAAATAGCTATAAAATACACATGTAATAAAATTAAAAAAGAACAGCATAGTGAAATTTTAATCTTTTCCCACTACTAATTCATATTTTAAAAAAGCATGGAAGTAAAAGATACTTATCTGATTCTAAAAAAGCTACTCTCCCCAGGAGAATCTTATCTTTGATTGCCATGTACTTTATTTTTAAAACTAGAGACACTTGAAAAAAGGCTAGCCACCAAAGGTTTCAGTACACAATCAAATGTGCATTGTATGTTTTAATAGTGGTAGCTGCAGATTAGAACAGATGACAGTTATTTGGATCTTGGCATATATAACAACTAGTCCATACAGCTACTTTGTTTCTGTCTTTGTAAGTGAACTCACAACCTTTATTTATCTTTGGACAACAATTAGCATAACTGAAAAAACCACCCAGAGTCCCCCGTTGTGGGGAGATGGGCGGGGACAAGTCAAATAAATAAATAAATAAATAAATAAGAAGATTAGATAGTAAAAAACCATATGCATTCTTGTCAAATATATAAAAAAGTATATAAAAAGTAATTCATATTTTAAAAAAGCATGGAAGTAAAAGATACTTATCTGATTCTAAAAAAGCTACTCTCCAAAACCACCCAGAGTCCCCCGTTGTGGGGAGATGGGCGGGGACAAGTCAAATAAATAAATAAATAAATAAATAAGAAGATTAGATAGTAAAAAACCATATGCATTCTTGTCAAATATATAAAAAAGTATATAAAAAGCCTAAAATATATAAATATATATAAAATATATTTTATACATAAATATATAAAATATTATATAGATTAGATATGGATACAGCTGTATAAATATATAAAAAACCTGAAAGCTGCATGGTTGGGAGAACCAATATTTAGAACCAATAGTGTTCAAAATAACTCTACCTCATGAAGTGTTGATATTATTTTTAACTCAATTTTAAATTGTTTTTAAGACAATTTGCATTTTTTTAAGGGAATATCTCAACTGATAGAGTTAGCTGCACTCTGTATTGTATACGATCAAATTCTTTATTTATAGGAAGGAGCTCATTGTTCTTTATTACTGGTATTTCTTTTCCAGGAATCTCCTGCATCTTCACCATCAATACCTAGGAACAGAACATCTTCTCTTACTGAGCAAAATGATGAAAGCATTTTAACTCCCAATAGAGAGGTGGGTTGAAGATCTGTCTCCTAAGTGGGGGACAGGGCATACACAAAGTTTTTAAAGAGTTCAAATGTAGCAAAAATGCATAAAATTAAGAATACTTAATTTTAATGTGTGCTCTGCCAGTTAATAATGCTGTATAAATTAGTAGTTGTATAAATGAACATTACAAAAAGGGTAACTTTCTCAATTCTGTTGAAAGACAATACAGTATAGAAATTGGAATTCTAAAGGCTACAGTGCCCACAGGTGCCAGATTGCCTTCTACACTTCCTTTGGCACTTGATATGGCATAATGCCCCTCCTGTGTATTTTTATTTCCTTTTATAAAAATGGAGTTATAGACTGAGTTTGCAAAGGATTGTAAGCCATAGTTCTGGTGAATCTGGCTTAATCAAACTCTAAACTGATATATATTGTCCATTCATTCCTGCTTATATGACTAAATAAATCCAGAATGGGTTTATCCTTAGAGTCTGGATTCAGATTTCTTGGGCTCAGATTTGTAAACCAAATAAACTGTTTTAGTATTCTGGTTTATAAAAGGAATAACAAGTCAAGATCCTTTCAGTCTGTCTGATTTTTTTTTTAATCTATAGGTATCTTTGTCTTATGAATCATCCTGTTTTTATTGTCGCCTTTTATTGTCACATTGCTAATGTGATGTAGTGATTGGAGTATTGGACTAGGACTGGGAAAACCTAACTTCAAGTCTATCCTCAGCCACAGAAGATTGACTTTGGTCAGTCATTCTTTGTCTCTCAACCCAACCCAACCCAACTTACATTTCCCCCCACTACTTACATAGTAGTGGGGAAAAATTGGAGGGGGAGTATTATGTACATTTCCTTGAGTTCCTGGAGAAAAGGTGGGATATAAATTAACCACTAAATGAATAATTGATAGTATTGTCTGCAATACAGATTACCAAATTAAAGCCCATAGAGTTATTCTGATGAACATATACCCCTCTCCCTGTAAATTGGTAGCAGTTATAGCTTTGGACACAGCTTCAGTTTCATGATAAAACTTTTGGGCAGGGATTCTCAGACTGTCCCCTCCTTCCTGGGATTCCCAACAAATTTGAGATGAGTTGTACTTACTAGTGCTCTACTTAGGAGTGGGCAGATTTTGATGGGCTGTGACATTAGTTCCAGAATTTTCCAACAGCTTTTGCTTCTGAGGACATCCAGGATCACCCACACAAGTTTGAGGTTCTCCTGCCTAATTTCAACTTCCTCTTCTTCCAAGGAGCTCTTTCTGGGCTTCTTTCTGGGTCGCATTTTGTGAGGTCCTGGTCCTCTGCACCAGTGTTCAAGCAGCCAAGCACTGCATCTCTCTTACTTGAGGATGAGGCCCAGTGGTGGAAGGCCAGTGTGTTCTGGCTACAGATTTTTTTGGGGTGTATCCCCCATGTGCTGGATCTTCTCATTGGCTGCTATCAAGATATGGAAGTGGCCCTGTCCATGGTGGCCACTTCTCAGTTGGGAATACATCTCCCTTGCTCTGGTGCCTGTCAGTGGCTTGCATCCTTTGTGATTTGTGCACCTATTCATGGGAAGAGTCCACACAAATTTATTTATTAAGTTAAGGGGTCATGGCACCACAAAGTTTGAGAACCGCAAAATAGGACATTGTTATTTTTCAGGGTTTGTAAAACACTGTTCTGCCACTATTGCATGTTCATGAAACAAGTTACTGCTTTTATGAACTATGAGGCACCTTTTTCATCTGGATGTTGTAGAGCTAGAACAGTAAATAGTTTACTGGGAACATTTTGTGTAATTTTTGGGGCAATAAGGATGATCAAATCTACCTTCACTTGAGCTTCAGTGTTGAGACAGATGTAATATAGTATGGGCAACTACTTTGTTGTTTTAGATTCTTTTCAACTTGCAAATCTAAGATATGAATAGTGTATTTGAAGATAGGAGGATTGCCACTTACTTGATCCTTGCCCTTTCAGGCTGATTAAATTAGCCGTGCTGAAAGTTGCCCAGTGATTAAGTAAAGTGACCATTTGGCTTAAAGAAGCAATTATGTGACATCTACTGAACATATCTCCTGAGCCAGTAAATCTAAGTAAATACAGACTTGTCTCAAATACATTATTTTTAGCCAAGACTGTGGCTTCACAATGGTTACCTAGACCCATTTCAGTTCAGCTTTTACCTGAGATAAGGAACTAAGATTGCTTAGTTGACAATCTTGCTGGGTGACCTAATGGACTAAATTGTATGAGCCCAACTTAATATCTTTTGACCTCTTGGCAGCCTCACTATCATTGATGATGGTATTCTTTTGGATCACCTGGTAAAAGTTGGTCATGACAGGACTATTATGCAGTGGTTCACTATCAGGCTATATCTAGAAGCTGTAAGCAGATTGCCTATGGTTGATGTGACATTGACCTTTAGTGTCCTGTAAGGTTCTGTTTTGCCTAATGCATTATTTAATATCAACCTGAAACCACTGGGAGAGGTAATTCAGAGCTTTGGCATGAGGTGAATCAGTATGCTGTTATCGTTTCATGAGTACTTGTAGTATTCACAATTAATTATCTGCATTTTTATGTACTCATGGCCATATAGAAATCTTGGTTGATTTGAATGTTCTATTAAACAATCTGTGTTTTATTTATATATTTTTATGAAATGTTATACATATTTGCAGCTTTGTAACCTGGATGTGAACATCTATTGGGATAAAACTGCAGTGTGCTTTTCTATTCTCTCCTTTTACATCATTACTTTTATTTTTCATCTTGTTGCTTTATTCATTGAATGACACAGCTGCTAGCTGGGATGATATCAGAGCCTGCTTTTCTTTCTGAATATACTGTTTTTGCTTTGGATCCTACCAAACGTCCTAAGCCAAAGAGTGAGAGTGTGGTGAGTCCCCACTGCTCTATCCTTCACAGTGATGGCTTGATAGATGCAAGAGGATACTATAATTCTAGAAGCCAAAAATAATGCTTTTGTTTATATTTTTAAACCATACTAAATGCTGTGTTGCTAACCTGTGCTAAAGAATGCATATACTTGATTAACTCACCTTAATTCAGCAAATGGGCAACTTTCGAGGAGCTGCGACTCAGCATCTCAACTTTCTGAAGGATCCAAGAAGGCCATTTGATGATGTGATTTTGTGAAAGGGGTGTGGTTGAAATTTTTTAGCCTCTTTTGTTGTTGTTACTGCTTTTGGGAGGGGGTATAAGGGTGACAATGTGAACAGGAAATCAGGCGAACTCTTCCAATTTCCACCCTTAAAATCATATCTAACCTAAAATAAATGGTTTGAAATGTTGATGCTCAAATTTGGCTATTTCATTTCTCAAATTACATGGTGTGAATTCAGGATGTTGAGAGGCTGAGATAAGGTGTTGGGAGCCACATGCAGGCCATAGGTGGCTCTCCCCATCTTACTTTAACATTGTAACGAAAATTAACACTACTGTGCTAGCCATATTATAAACATTCATTAAAGTATTTTTGTAATATAGTTAGAATTGTATTTGTTTAGATTTTTAAAAATCAAATCAAATATTCTTTTTTCTACTACAACTCTTTTTTTTCCTCTAAGAGAGTGCTGTCTGGTATACTTGAGGGTGTTGAAGAATAACAACTCTTCATTGTAGACCAGTTTTACAGAAAGTAATGTTTTGTGGATCTGACTAGGTAATGGTTAAAGAATTGGAACAAGATAAGAATGAGAGAAAGAATATAAGGAATATAATTATAGCTTTATTCTGAATCAAAGGATGTACTTTCCCCCCAAACTCTGAGTTAAATGATTGCCTCAATAGAGGCAGTTTATTGTGGCATAATTGATACAAATTTTGCATCAGAATTTTTAATTATTATAAGTAGATGAGGCCAAAGTAAGGTATCATGACTTATACCATCTTGTCATATGACTTTCCGATAATCCAGTCTGTTTTGAAGAATGAAGTTTATGACATTTGGACTCAGCATAGATAAAGGAAATCTGTTCCTCATTGGCTACTTTTACTTTGGATTGATCTGGATACACTGCAATAGGTTACTTTTAATATTTAAAATATAAATATTAAATTGTTTAAAGTTATATATTCATTTTATTGTATTAACTTATTTTTATATTTAGTAATTTTTATATAAGTATCTGTTTTATTATTTGAGCTAAAGCAATTATGTTACTGTGTCAGAATTATTTTTACTACAATTAAAACCATACATTTATTTCAAACAGCTCTTTCAATTCTTGGTGTTCCTAAGGAATGTGAGATAATTTATTTGTATTAATACCAGATAATAAATATCTACTCCTAAATCTTGTTCCTCAGGTATCAGTCCTAAAGAGTACAGCAGGAATTATATTTTAAGATATATGATTAGGAAAGCAAATTTAGGTTGCATTCTTTATCTTCTTACCAGGAAGATCTAACCTATTAGATTAACTGCCTTTTAATTAAACATATTTGGACATATTGTTTTCTATTTATATATACACAGTCTTCAACAGTCTATCTATGCATATACAGTCTTTACTCTCTCCTTATTTATTTAACCTGTATGTTGAATATATATTGAAGAAAGCTGGATTGGAAGAAGATAAGTGTTTTAAAATTGGAGGAAGAAATATCAGTAACTTGCACTATACTACTGACACTGCTTTGATAGCTGAAAAGCAAACTCTCGTAATGAAAATCAAGGAGCATAGTGAAAAAAATGGAGTTAAGATTAAATATAAGGAGCAAATTAATGACAACAGGTATGGCAACCGGCCTTAGGATTGTCAATGAAGATATTGTAGTGGTGGATAGTTTCTGCCTTTTTGGGTTGATCATCAACAGTAAAGGGACTGGTAGTTAAGAACTATGCCACAGACTAGCACTTGGTAGAGTAGCAATAAATGCCTTGAAAAAGGTATCAAGATACTGGGATACATCTACACCTACACAGGTCAGAATCATCCAGGCACTGGTTTTCCCTGTGATACTCTATAGAAGTGAATGTTGGACTATGAAGAAGCAGGAGGGAAAGAGTATTGATGCTTTTGAACTTTGGTGTTGAAGAAGACTCCTGAGAATACCATGAGTAGCCAAGAAAACAAACAAATGAATCCAAAAACAAATTTACCTGGAGTTCTCACTTGAGGTACAAATGACCAGGCTCAAATTATCATATTTTGGACACATTATGTGAAAACCTGGCTCTCTAGAGAAGTCTACAGTACTGGGAAAGGTGGAAAGAAAGAGATGACCAGCAGCAAGGTGGATAGACTCAATTGCAGTGGGTTGATGACACATAATAAATCAAGTCAATTATCTTTCTTAGGTGTCTTAGTAAACCAGAATTGTGAAGAAAGTTGGCTTAGTAAAGCAGTTTTTAAGTTGAGGCAACTCTCCAGAGAAGACTGTATGTTTCAGTATTTGTAGTATTCAGAATATGCATTTAGCATGTTAAATTCAGTCCAGGCATACTAACAATTCTGTTTGTGCCTTAACTAGTAATTTTTGAACTCTGCTGAATTTAAGATGTGGCAGCACCTAGTTGACTTTGGCTGATCTCAAAAAAGCCAAGCAGGTAAATATTTGGATGGCAGATCAACAGGAAACTCCTGGTAGTAGATTAGACTGAGACTTTGAAAAAACATCATGGGAGAAAGTAATGGCAAACTACTTTGTATTGCATGGATATGACCAAGTAGAACTCAACTTCAGGGAATCTTTATAATCTTATGTGGTTTATGTTACCATTATTCACAGACCATACATTTTTACAATTAAAAGATCTTTATATTTAATTGTGGATGATTTCTAAGAGCCTTTCTAAAATTAGTTCTGATCTGAGAATGGTAATATTTGTTTGATACATATTTTCAGCCTTGAATGTAAGTGCTACAAAAATTGACATTATAAGAATGAAGTAATAGAAGTACTGAATATTGTAAGCAATTATGCATTCTTTGGTTCTGTTTATATTTTTCCTGAAGTTAGGGATGGAGAATTATGTTTCTGGTTTTTCTTGTAGAGTAAAATATTTGATAGGGAAACATATGCTCCAAGTAGAGAACTAGATCTGTATTTTGTAGTCTTTCTCTTTATGGAGTGAATTTTGACAATAAATGATATATATTTTAAGAACATCTTTTTTTTGTTGATTCCATTAGCATTTTCTACTTAATTGTACTGATCCATATAAGCAAATCTGTTTTATAGCTTTACATATTATAGGAGGCTGATTCACCTTTCCATTTAATAATCTTTTTTCAGTGTGCTTCAAAAGTAGTTGCACAGTACAGATACTAATAATTAACAACTACAACAAAAAGATTTGTAATGCTTTCATATGATTGCTTTGTATTATAGAAATATTTTCTATCAAAATATTTCTATTTTAGAAATAGAAGAAAAGAACACAGTTCTATATTTTAGGGCAGTATTCTTATTCTGATTGATATTTTTCCCTTTTTTGCCTTCTAGATTATACATAAACAAAATACTAGCAATAGTGAAAATGAACCATCTTCCCCACAGGTATGTAGCATAAAGCTTTTATGGTATATTTAATTATAATGTCCTAAGATATGTTATTTTTATACTTCAAAAATATGTTCCTGAATTTACATTGTACAGTCTAAATAATTGTTTTACCATTTCTGGAAATTAAGGTATTAAAATCAAAATATACATGAACATTCATATAGTTCTTAAACATTATAATAGTTTATTTAGTCTCAGAAGTAAATTGAGGCTGGTAATGAAATATTTAGCATATATGAAAATAATTAATTCTATGATATTCTGAGGAAAACGTAGTATAAATTTCAGTCACTTTATTGTTTACAGCCTAGTGATGGCCAGTCTTTTACACAGAAGCTTCAACTCCGGGTTTCTTCAATGGAATCATTATTTCGAAGTCCCTTAAAAGAATCTCTGTTCCGGTCCCCTTCTAAAGAATCCTTAGTGCGGACATCTTCAAAAGATTCTCTGAACAAACTGGATTTCGATTCTCCTTGTCCAACATTTGATCCACCTTCTGATGTTGAAAGTGAAGCAGAAGAATTACCTGGAAATGTTGATAGTTTTCCCAAGGAACAGTTGTTGCATCGATTACATAGAATGGAACGAAGTTTAGGGTGCTACAGGGGAAAATACTCAGAGGTGAGAATGTATATATTTTAATTATTTTAATAAGAATTAAAATAACTTGGTGAATTAGGTGCTATACTTTTCTAAAGGATACATTATTGATTTTGGGGAAACTATTTTAAATTATTTAGCTGGCCAAATTAATTGTTGCCATTCTGATTGCTGCCATGCATTTTTTTCTTTTATCAAGAAAAGTTTGTTAGATACACATGGACAGGAATTATTAAGAAATACAAATTCTAGTTTAGAGCTGAGCAGCTTTGTCTGATTATCAGTGCATCAGGTAGAATTTTATAAAGAAGTAAGAATTCTGCAATCTGAGATCTAATGAAGAAAGAACTAATTTGTCCCTTATTCTAGAGCAGTGCTCGTCAAACTTTCTGCAGTTATAGATCACTAAACAGATGGTTAGAAAATGCAAGTACTGCTATATTAAACAAACAACCCTCTCCATGTTTTCATGTTTAAGACCATGGAAATTCTTCTCGTTTTCTGGTAAATCGGATAATGATAATAGTTACCTTTGTGCCTTCCTGTATGGGACACACATGAGTTTGCTCGTGTCTGGGATTTGCTGGGTTGGTACCTTGGCTCCCTCAAGTAGATATCCCTAAGCCCATCCCCCGATCCCTACTGCACCCTCCCACACTCATACCACCAATCTTTTTATTTTGGGAGAAAAAGCCTTCCTGAGTTGATTTACTCAGGAAGAAGAAAATGGCAAACCTCCTGCCCTCACATTGACATGATAAAGGCTGAATTTCCTATTTGATTCAGGAAGAAAGTTAATGTATGTCAAGGTTAAGGAACTATATGGGAGTTGAAAGCCAAAAGGAAAAAGAAGCATGTTCTCTAAAGGGATTATCCCAACCAGATATGCCCTGCCCATACATGTAATTTAAAAGCAGAAGGAGATAAAGGTATAAGAAAGACAGAACAATATAAAACAAAGGCACAACAAAGCATCACTTTCCATAAAACAAAATCAAAATTCTAATTCTCAATTAGCTTCTATTTCAGCTGGGTGGCTATAATAAATTTAAATAAATAAATAAAATCGGTTTCTAGATTTCTGTATATTTCTTGGATCTCCATCTTTGTCTGGGTTAGGACACTGCTTACTCTGGCTTTGAGACAGCTGAGGAAAAGGTGCTTTTGCTCCTCCCTTGAAAAAGGGTAAACAAAGACAAAATGGAGCCTATCCTTCTCTTTTAAAAGCTCACACAAAAGAAACCTTCCAATTCTGTTTGGTTGCTCAGATTTTGATTTTCCCAAGCTTTGATGATCTTCACCCACTATCTAAATTGACAGGTTAGATTTTATTGATCAAGTTTAGGTTTCCTCTCATCTTTAAATCTCTTGGGGTGGGGTTTCTCTCTTTTCTCTACATTTCCACCCCTTATATTTATTTTTAAAAATAAATACTGTGCCAAAAGTGTAATCCAAAATAATATATTTACCACTTGAATTATTTTATGTACCTATTCCATAATAAGAGTCCTCAGCCCAAACTTGCTGGTCAAGAATGTTCTTCAGTAGAAACTTTTGAGTACTAAAGGCAAGTAGAACTCCAGTCAGTGAAATTCTATTTTATAATTCATAATTCTGTTTCCTGTTTGCAATTTCTTGGAGAGGTTGCTTGTGCAAGGTTGCCTTCCATTTAATACAGCTCAATAATGGCATTACTAAGGCCAGAGGAAATAATGAATATTCATTTTGTTAGTATTCTCTTTATTTTCCTATTTGTGGATGGTTACACTTTCATGAGAAGTAAAGGACTAATCTTTGGTACAATAGCATGCTGGAGTGAAAACTATTCATTTTCTTGATTATTAAGTGCCTATACCACATAAATATTAGAACACTGTGAAAAATATGCTATATTTCTCTGTGTAGAGATTTATAACAAATATATTATGCCCTTAAAGAATACAATAATATTCATTGTTTCCATATTAGCTCTTCCTTTCACAATCATTTATCTTGTAAAGAATGAAAACTGATACCTCTAGATGAGATTATTTTGCCACTAGAATCACTATTGCTAAATAACTCATTGAAAGCACATGATAGCTGTGCTTTTGGATAGCCCTGGAAATTCTGTTTTATTTTTGTTACTATATTTAAATATTGGAATATCTAGTGATACAAAGAAGTTTGGTGATATGCAAAACAAAACTGTGTGTTTCGTTACATGTTGCTCTAATTATTCCAACATACAGCTTTAAAAGAAAAGTATCCAAGCCACAGAGAACTGGGTGGTATATTAACTAATAAAACAGGAACAAGTTCCATCCTGCTGCCATTTACTGGAGCTGATGGGTGCAAGGGAGAATGAGAGAGAGTCAGTTAAATACATACTGAGAAACTAATAGCTATTTTGAATAGCTTGGGCTGAAGTGAATCTCTTGCTATTGCTTCTTTGCTGGGCTCAGATTTTTCAGTCAAGCTGCAAAATAATGCTGATATTTTGCTTTCACTGATATCTGTAAGAATGTTTTAAATGTTTAGAATAGTTTAAAAAATATCCTAGCAGGCAACACTAAGATTAACATGTAACTTACTTTTTTACCCTTCAAGGTAAAAAAAAAAAAAAATTACCCTTGTTTATTCCCTGCGACAGAGAACATCAGGGTGATTTTAGGAACGTGGAAGATTAAAAATGTTTTAATGGAATATTCTAAATGGTGTCCTTTTGTTATGAATGAATGAAGAATGAGTGTGTGTGTGTGTGTGTGTGTGTGTGTGTGTGTAATTTCACTCATACCCAAAGGGGAAGTTTCATAGGTGATAAAGAAAAATTAATTATATTCTGTTTACAGTTTATTTTAATGACCATATATTCTTATTCATACATTTCAGTTGGTCACTGCCTATCAAGTTTTACAAAGAGAAAAGAAAAAATTACAGGTATAATATTAACCTTTACTTTATAAAACTTTTTTTTAAAAAAGATATTCTTAATTATGAAAAGTATAAAATGTTACAATGAAATAAGTTATGATTATTATCTAATAAAATATTTGAAGTTAGGTGTGATCTACAAATGTATTCCATTGTTCTGATTATTTTTTTTCTTAAATTGAATGAAGGATTTTCATAGGAAAAAAATAACTTTTTTGCTCAGTCATTGTGTTTCAAATGTTGTGGGATGGGGGGCTTCAGTAACAGCAGAAATCCTTAGTGATATGGAAACTATTAAGTGTCAGATTTTTAAAAGATCAACTTGCTTTGTTTCAGGGAATATTGAGCCAGAGTCAGGATAAAGCACTTCGCAGAATTGGTGAACTGCGGGAGGTAACTCTTAATTCTAATTATACATGCAGATTTTCCAGAAAAAAACTGAGAATTTACAGGCTGTATTCACATTCTCCTTTAAGCCATTGTGTGACCCTTTTAATTGTAATATGTGAATGGAGTAATTGAATAAAGCATGGTAATCCACTGAGGGTATGCAAAACTCACTAATCTGGGAATAGAAATTTCTAGTAAAACAGTGCTGGACTCTACCTGTAACACCATCTTATGGAAGACTTCATTTTGGAAAATTACTAAATCATCCCTGGAATGTCTGATGCCATGTTCTCGGGGGGGAAAGGGGAAAACACTGTGGACAGCTAAAGACAGAATGAAACAAGAGCAGTTAAAAAGGAGTGAAAGCAAAGCTGGAATTGGCTAAACAAGCCATTAATACGATCTCTGGGAGTAAATCTGGTTTGTTCAACATAATATTTAAAAGAAGCCTTTCTAAGTGCATCCATATTTCTCTACTTACCTGCCTACATTTTTTATACGCATATATTCCAATAAGAAAGAAGTATTCCTGTGATATGTATTTACTTTCATTCTGATGTTTAACATAGAAAATAATCCTATATACACTTCTACAGAAAGCAAAAGACGAGTTGTTGTTTTTTTAGTACAACTAAACTTTAATTAGTATGAAGGCTATTAAAGCCTTCTCTATTAGCCTTTCTTGGCAAAAAACTTTGCTTTTCTATGTAAACTTTATTTTTCATCCCTGGATTTTTCATCTCTCTATTTTTATTTTGCTTTGTGAAGTTTGTGAAGTTTCAATACTGAAGTTTCAATATTGAAACTTCACAGAAAAAATTGTTTTTTCTTTACCAAGGAAAGGTAATGAGAAGGTTTTTTTTTAAATAAAACCTTTTTATATCTAAATTTGTGGATTGTTTTCTGTAATGAAGAAGTAGAAATTATATGTATCAAAGATGTACATAATGTAACTAAGGATCCTATTGATTAATATTAGTTTGGCAGAATACCCAACCTTCAGTTTTCATAAACTATAGGCTGTGGATCTGAAATGAAATTATAATTGGCTTAGGTTCAATAATAAATCTTGCCAGACTAATCTTCTTATTTTTGATTTGGCAACTTCATTAATAGATTGTGGAATGCTACAGATTTAGAATGCTATCTTGAGTTTTACGAAGCACTTTGCAAAGAACTCCATAATAGGCTTATCAGCAAGCTGGATGACAGAATTAATTGTATAATTCTGAATTAATTCAGAATTAATTGTATAATTCACTAATTCTTTCAAGTTTCAAGATGGCGGCAGGGAGCGGACACCTAGTGCGTAGCTCCCAGCCATAACCAATTACCAGTTTCCAACCATAGCCAGCAAGGGGCTAAGGAGAGTCGAAGGTGTGGGATCCTTATGTGAATGGAGAGAACCCTCGGCATTACCTCTGTGCCTCCTTTATTAGAGAGACCCCAAATAAGTTTTTTTTTTTTTTTTAATGAAAAACAGGCTGGCTGAACATTTCAGTCAAACTTTAATAGTACAGTTGGGTTGCCTATCCGTTTTCATTTCTAAAGAGATGCTCTGTGTGTGTATGTGTATGTGTGTGTGTGTGTGTGTGTGTGTGTTTTATACCAGTATCTGCTTTAATGAACTTGTTTGGAAGTGGTTGGCAACCTGGTACCCCCCAGCTGTTATAGACTAGCTAAGATTAATGGAAAGGACCAGACTGCCTGCTCCATGGTTTTATTAAACCTCATTTAATTTTTCATGGTGTTTATTTATAATTTTCAGGATTGCTTCCTATACAAAAACAGAATAGTCAAATTTTATCCTGCAGAACATATTGAATCATTCTTTGATAATTTTTTTTACTACTATACTTTATACATGATATGATGGTAGCAACTTAGCTGCACTCCATGGTGTTTTAAAAAATGTATTGCCATTTTCATGTGTTTCTTCATATTTGATCAGTATATAATAGAATATTGATTATTAGGAATATTAACAAGCTTGTGATGAGAGCCCCCATCCTTGACCATTTTTCTCCATTTCAGTTAGGCTGCAGATATTAACTGACATAACTATACAAAATGTCAATATTTAGGTTTCAGTGTCTTGAAAGTTTAAAATAACAATAACATTTTAAAAGTAGGAAAGTAATTACAACATATAAATTATGTTATTACTGGAAGACTTAAAACTCTCATTTTCAAATTGAAACTAGTGTGTCACATTTCCATGCAAACTGCCATGGTGATGTCACTGGATTCTGCATCATGTTATAGTCAACCTGGTTGTCGTGGCATCAACAAACTCTTAGGGCCATGAAGTACAGTATAAAAATGTAACCCAGCCTAGTTTGGGGCTCTTATAGTTGAATTATTTAAACTAAATAAACAGAACAAATTATCTTAGAATATGTCTTAACAAATGCAGAAAGAGATTTTCAAGTAGGATCAAGGCCTACACTAGAAATGAGATTTTCTTGTGAAACTACTAATATTTGTTTCATGTAGCTACATATATATTTTAAACAATAGCTTTGAATTATGAGAGTTTGTTCTTTCAACCATGTGGTGTTTAATTCAGGTAAATGTATATTTGCAGATATTACAGTGTTTCTAAAGATATAAACTGTTACATTTTTTCCTCAACCCCCTCTTCCTTTCAAGCTTAAAACACATAGTGATAAGGTAGATTTCATCTCCTCTATTGATCAGATTTAAAATGTTCTGCATAACATTAGCTTACCATTGAAAAAACTGGCTTATTTCCTTTTATTTTTGTTTGCAGCTGAATATATTTCCTAAATTGAAACATCTAGTTCTGTCTGAAATTTGTTTAGAATTGGTGGCTGTTAGCAATTTAATACAGGTAGTCCTCAGGTTATGACAGCAATTGAGACAGGAATTTCTATCACTAAGTGATGTGGTTGTAAAGTGTGGCATCATGTGACTGCATCACTTAGCGACAGCAATCTTGGTGGTCTCAGTTGCTGTTGTAACCCAGAGAGACCACACCGGTTGTTAAGAGAGGACCTCATGTGACCAGAGTCCTAGGCAAGCAGGCCGGTGGGCGAGAGCTGCAAGCAGGTGGGTGAGTGCCGCGGGCGCTACTGAGTATGAATGGGCTGGCGGGGGCTGTGGGTGGGCTGGTGGGGGTTACAGGTAGGGGCTACTAAGCATAGGTAGGTGGGCCACTGGGCCTGGATCGTGATCACATGTCTGTGGGGGATACTGCAATGGTCACAACTTTGTGGACCAGTTGTAAGGATGACTATAGTAATTAAGTTACTCTTAAGGACTTACAGTGGATTAAGAGAATAATTAATTGTGGAAGCATAGCAGAAAAAATACTTTTTTACCCTTGATATAGCCAAGACTGGGTAAGAAGTTTTGGTTGACCTTCACAATATGAATGTGGAATAATATGTAGCCAGCATATTGTGGTGATGAGACTAGATTTAAATTGATTTGTTTAATGGAAGATCATTGGATGATGAAGGCTGATTCATAGCTCAGCCTACCTCATAGTTGCTCAATTCTGTATTTGCTAAATCCATATTTTATTTTTAACAATTTTTCCTTCATTATGCCATTGTTTTAAGATAATTTTGCATGTTACAGATGAATATGATACCTGTTTATTTACCTACACACCTGTGGCACAGATGACAGATTAGTTCAGGTTTCTTGAGATTACATGCTTTATTCTCTCCTTGACTTCTATGTTATAATTATCTCACTGATTTCACACAAACGCTGGGAGTTGGGTGTCATATACCTTTAATAAATTATTATTATTTTTATTATGATTATTAAACTGTGGTATTTTATTTGAACCTGTACTTTTTGACGGTATGGTAAACTATGTGTTTTGCTGGTTCTGCAAATTGGGACAAATTAAGGCACTGATAATTTGATATGAATTGTCGATTTGTGCTCTGAAACATGCCCCACACAAACAATTTGTCTATTATTATCAGTCTTCTAACTGGGATACTTCTGATAAGCTTCTGAAGAACCTAGGATTGTCTGTAACACAAGTTAGAAACTACAGATTCATTCCCTATTTTTTGCTAGTTTTCCTAATTACATTTTCCTTATGCTTCCATAGAAACATGGGGTGACTATCTTTTTAAAAATTTGCCCTGCTGTAAGATTTCCATTTCAATGACCTGATTGGGTTTTCCCTTTCTCTTTGCTCTTTGAGATATAATAATAAAGTACTGGGAAAAATTGAAAGTGTTACTGCTCCATATTAGTATGCAATCTCTTACTTCCTTAATATGATGAGGGTGTTAACTTAAGATAGTGTGATGCAGAGCAGAATAGGATCCACATAGGAAAGAGGAAAAATTAAAAGAATAGTACTGTACCTTAACTGTTCTATAATAGGATCTAAAGTCATATGAAAGAAAAAAAGGAATATTGGTAGCAGTGAAAGTGATAAATTCAGTTAAATTTAGATCTGACCAGAACACACACACACATATATACACACATAGGTACATGGTTTAAAGTTGATTAAATTGTTTTATATTTTTGATAATAAATTCCTACAACATATTATGATAGGAACTTCAGATGGATCAACAAGCAAAAAAACACCTTCAGGAGGAATTTGATGCATCCTTAGAAGAAAAGGACCAACTTATCAGTGTCCTGCAGACACAGGTAACTGCTTGAGAGAGGTTTCCAAAACATCCTTGAGGAGCAGCAACTTTTTTTTCTGCTAAATACTATCCTATCCTTAAAAAGTATATACAGATAGTCCTTGTTTAATGAACACTTTTTCAGCGACTATTCACAGTTACAGCGGCACTGAACAAGGAGACTTACAACTGGTCCTTGTAGTTGTGGCTGTTGCAGTGTCCCTGTGATCATGTGATTGTGATTTAGGCACTTTGCAACTGGCCCGCAATATGACAGTTGCAGCATCCCGCGGTCATGTGATCACCATTTTCAACCTTCACTGCTGGCTTCCAACAAGCAAAATCAATGGGGAAGCTGGCAGGAGTTGCAAATGGTGATCACTTGACATCGTGCCTAACTAGCGTGAGGGATTTGCTTAATGATGACAACCAGAACTGCTGCAAGTGCCATCGTAAATTGACACTGTTACATGACCTTGTGCTTTACAACTGTGTCGCTTAGTGATGAAGTTGCCGGTCCCAGTTACTGTCATTAACTGAGGACTACCTGTAATCAACTTCAGTTTCTTGTATCTTTTGAAACAAATGCCCATTTCATTCTGAGAGTCAATGGGATGCACAATAATGGTAATATATAATATCACATAATAGTTCATACTAGAGAAAATAATTTATTTGGATGTACTGTACTTAGGGAATTTGGATGTACTTAATGGATGCATACTGTGTATTTCACTCTTTTTATTTGTCTTTCAATTTTTGAAATTGAATTTTTACTGAAAAAGCTCTTCTGAAAACAAGAATTTTAAAAGATAGTATTTATCAAAAGGAAGTTCCAGAAAAAAGCTCTTCCAGCAGCTACATGGATCATTGTCACTGATCTGGACTTGTTTTCCTATAGCTTTGTGTATTGCTGTTTCAATCACATATTATTAAGATATCACCCAGGGCAATGCAGAAATTTGTATTCTCTAGGGAAAAAATCAGAGTAAATCCTAATATATGTTTAGCTGTTGAATGGATAAATATTTTGCTTATGCAGGTGTCATTACTGAAGCAACGATTACATAATGGCCAGATAAGCATTGAACTACCTAATCCAAATGTTCAAACTCAATCACAAGTTCAGAGTCCAGTAAAAGATCAGAATACGGAGAATACTTTGCAGCCAGAGAGTCCTGGTAAGTTGTCATCTTAAAAAAGAAAACACACTAAATGTATGTTAAAGAAATACTGGGAAATCTTCACAGTTGAATCTGAGAATTCATATATAGTGGTTGCCTGGCTGTGTTTTATGAGACCATTTTATTTCCCACTAAATTTCTGCTTTGCATTAAAATATGGTTCTATGAGGATGGAATTTCTGATAATCACCTGGATAAGCACTGGGCATCTAATAAACTTTGGTAAAGTTACTAAATTATGTGCCTTCTGGCTGTATCCTGGAATCACTTCACATTGCATATTGTATCAGCAAGAATTTTCATTCCCAAGTTCCACTGATGCTGATTGATTAAAAAAAATTCTACTTACAGAGGGTGAATTTGTTGCCTATAAATCTGTGCTCTGATTATTGGAAATTAACAGTATAAACTTGAAATCATATAGTGTATACTACCAAGTTTCTTTCTCTTTTTTCATGTCTTTTGCTTTTGTTAATGCTTTGTTTTCCTTTTTAACTTTCTTGGTTTTTTTAGTTCTGGTTTTATGTTTTGTTTGATAGAAAAGCAAAAAAAAAAGGAAAGAAGCAATAAAACGGGGGAAGAAGTTGGACGATTTGGTAAAATATTATGGTTGCTCAGAAATTCTGCGGAATTAACTTGGTGATTCTTTTGGGAATATCTGGGTTAAAATAAATAGAGAAATAAATTAAAACAATGTTGCCAATTACTTTTCAGTTAGGCTCTCCCCCTTCCTTGCTAAATATAATTAATTAATTAATTTAATTAAGTTCTTAGAGATTATGTGTCATCCAGTATAGGACTAAAAGTAAAATACTTAAAAGTCCTTTTAATCCTCAGGTCAATATTTAAGAACCAGTCTCTGTGTCTCATCCTGATAAGACTGGAGGGCTACTGAATAATAACATTTTCATTGGAACAGTATAAATTTCTAGGATTGCCCCCTTGAAGGAAGTTTGGCAGGCCCAATTACTGTTAATCTCTTGTTGAATAATATAAACATGAAAACTGTCAGGCACTGCCAAACACTTTGAAACAATTTGTGTGTGGATGCTCCCGATTTGTTTAACTGCTTTTAATTGTTTTATTTTTATATTGTGTCACATAATCAGGTCTAGAATGCTTTGGGATTTTCCAAAACTAAAAGTTGGGATAAATAATGCAATAAATAAATAAAATAATAATAATAATGTAAACTGATAATTATTTAACCCAGATGTTTATGCTGTATACTTAATTTATTGATTTACAAAAAACATAAATGAAGCAAAGAAATATTATAAATAAAAGTAATAGTAATAAAATAATAATACAAGTAAAACCAGAATGTAATGCAACATAATGAAAAAGAAAAAAAAACATAATGAACATTGGAGAAAATGATCTAGCACAGTTGATATTATCCATAGGACCCTCTAAAGTAAAAACTAAGCCGAAAACCTTTAATGGCAAGAGTGATTGAGCAGAGCTTGGTAACATTCCTGGAAATTTTCAGTAAAAAGTATGGAAGTAGGATATGAACAGTTTCAATTTCTGGCCAGCCAATGCAACCAATAAGAAGCTGATAACACTGGTTATCATAAAGCAGAGAATAAAATGGCTGACTTGGTAGTGGATCCTGAGCAAATACAAAATTGCTCTGAATATGGGATATTGTTAAACCTCCCTCTGTCAGGTCAGATGGTAAGGATTTAAAACTTTCTTAGGGTCAGTGTTCTTCTGTGTGTGACAGAAGTGATGTTTTAGAAGTACTGTGGGAATCTAAAAGGGCTGTAAAAGAGTTCCCAGAAACAAGAGGTGTGACTCTTTCGTTCTGAGCATCTAAATCAAGGATTCTTTGTTTTACTACTTGAAGAGCTGTATTGGGGCCAAGCAACTTTAAATATGGAGCAGATGTACAAAAGGTCAACCTTTATTCCATAAGTGGCAGGAACCATGTGTACAATTCCCACATAGAGTATCAGTTCATATCACTGGCAGCACTGTGCAAACTTCCAGATTACAGTACCTGTGAAATGTCAAATGAAAACCAAGCATAATTTTTCTGCTGTTCATAGTTGGTAATGAGGATCCTGATAAAACAATAGAAACTCTAACTCAGCGAGTAAAACGTCAAGAAAACTTGCTTCATCGATGTAAAGAAACAATTAAATCTCACAAGGAGCGCTCAGCACAGCTGACCAGTGAGAAAGAAGTACTGCAGGAACAACTAGATGAGAGGCTTCAGGAGCTAGAGAAAATAAAGGTACTGGGGAAAAAAAGGCTTCTCATGATATTAATTTGTACAATTAATTACTTAACTCATTTAGCAAAAGATGCCAGAGATTATAATCCATTTTGACTAAACAGCAAGACAAAAAACATTTTAAATAATAATAAAAATTCAATATGCTAAAAGATAAAAATTCTGTAATACCTGATAATGTTTAGAAAGGAACTAGATGTTAATATCTTGAGAGTAAGCATATGGGTAGCTTTTAGTAATGCAATTTTTTAAAAGATCAGGATAAGGAATCCTGCCAAAGACATTTTACAGAGTCTATTTTTATTTAATTTATACTTACATGTGTGCATATGTACACAGAAATGGAAAAAAACCCACAAAAGGTATATCTAGTGTTTTAAAATATTTTATTTTATTTTATTTATTTATTTTATTTATTATTTCAATTTCAAGGCCGCCTGATTCCATAGTGACTCTGGGCGGCTTACGGATAAAAATGAAAAGAAAACAAAATATCCAATAGAAGAGAATATCTGTAGCTCAGGGTTATGCTGTGGAGTTCTTGGTACTCTCTGAGCTTCATGGTTCCCTTGCAGACGTTTCATTGCCCAAGTAGGTAACTTAATTACTGCTAGTGAGTGTGGGGTTTGCTACACATTACCTTAGTTGGGTAATGAAACCTCTGCAAGCAAATCACCAAGCTCAGAGAGCACCAAGAACTCCAAAAAACAAAATATATCAAGAAAAAAGACAGTTAACCGGAAGGCAAAACCTAAAAAGCAAAGCCGCAAACATCAACAGCAACAACCAAAGAGGCTTGACCAGTTCATGTTAATACTTTTTGTTGGATTAATTATCATTTTAAATCTAAGAATTATCAGATATAGATAGAAAGTGTTTTTCATTGATCATACACCAAGCATTTTTTTATTCCATGCCTCCATTTATTATTGAACATTTAATTTGGTATATTCCAATGACTGTTAATCAGTGGTTATTATATTATTTTGGGAAGATTGTGTTAAATCACAATCTGAAGCACTTAAAACATTATATATAGTTTGACTTTTTAACTAAATTAAATGTGGATATATATATATATATATATATATATATATATATTTAACTGTTTTGAGGTTTTATTTTAATTGTGAGCTGCCCGGAGTCACCCTCTGGGGGAGATGGGTGGCATATTAATTTAATAAATAAATAAATAAATAAATAAATGCATACATACATACATGCATGCATGCATGCATGCATGCATGCATTTCCCAGAGTGATTTGTTTTAATTTCTGAGGAGGAACTGGACTCTTTATACATTTAAAAAATATCTAGATATAATTCTTACTGAGGAATGTGGAAAAGAAAGTTACTTGTCTTCAGTTTTCTAAAGTTTATTTTCTTTAATTTCTTAGGATCTTCATATGGCTGACAAGACCAAACTTATTACTCAGCTACGTGATGCCAAAAACCTGATAGAACAGTTAGAGCAAGATAAAGTAAGCAATGTACATTTTTGAAGTGCCACAATTTCTTATTGGTACTAGTAATTAAATGAAAAGATATTTATACAATTATCATAGTTTGAAATAAATATAATTTCTCTTTTTCATTCCCTCTGACCTGTCTTGGGTAAGCATAGACTGAGCAATGATTGTTTACAATTCCATCAGTAACCTCTAGATCTTTTTCCCCTCTCCTTGGCTTTTTGTATCTTTAAATTTTATTTGTGTAATAATTGCTAAATCTTTCTCAGCACTTCATTTTGATGTAACAAAAAGAGCTGGTGATTTAATTAGGAAAGTAGTCATCCTGTATCCTGCTTTTATGCTTAGGCTTTATATTAATACATTCTCACAGTCTACTTCCGCTGCCTGCATTCACCTATTTTATAGGGCATGGTTATAGCAGAAACAAAACGGCAAATGCATGAAACTCTGGAACTGAAGGAAGAAGAAATTGCCCAGTTGCGTATTCATATCAAGCAGGTGGTTTTGCAGAGCGAAGAACTAAAAGAACAGAAAGAAAAGTCTGAAAAAGCTGGTAAGAAATTTTGATAGCTTACCTGAGCAGGCAACTCTTTTTGGCATAGCTTATTTACATTTCTGCTGACAGTCCTTACTTTCATTTTTCTAATCATTTAAACTAATACCAGTGTTTGAAGAGTTGTAAGATGTTTGTGTCTTTCACAACCTTGTGTAGATGTTACACTTCTTTGTGATATGTACTCATAGATGCAGAAACAGCATGTTATGAGGTTTGCAGGTGAAAGAACTCCCGCTTTCCTCATTTCATACATTGCTAATGAGCATTTGTTTCTTTTGAGAACCAAAGACACTAGGATACTCTATACAAATTTAAACCACCTATTTTTTATTAATGTACTATAAATGAAAACTAGTTGTCTTATTTTTCAAGCTTCAAGGAAAAGATCAAATTATGAACTGCAAGTCCTCTTGGCAGGGATCATCTTCTAAATTCCATCAACTAATTAATTGGCATTCTGTAGTCACATCAGTCACTTAGAAAGATTTTACATTCTATAAAGAAAAGTGACTTCATACTAGCTGACTTATCTTCCTTAAATCAAAAGTTGAGGAGATCATCTGTGTTGTGCTGGTGGAAAATCTATGTACTAAAATCTGGTACAGACTTTCTTCAAATTAGGAGCCAGGTTCATCAATGTGCATTATCACTCCATCCTCCAGATAATTTTGTCTCTCCCCTTTTTCTTTCCTCTCTCACATTAACACTTATTATGTATCATAACTTTGGTGGGTAGGCCATGTTTTCATTTGCTGGTTTACAAAAGGACTGTACTCCCTTTAAATGCTATTTGATTGGAAGATAAACAGTGATAAAATAGAGAATACTGAATGAGAAATTGTTTGAAGAGGGGGTATCGTACATCTGCTAATTATAATTTGCAGGGAAGCATTGTAATGACTGCACTGGGTCTCCTTTGAGCCTAATCAGTCCTTCCACTAACTGCCTCTTTGCAGTACTCTGCAAAAAATGCAATTGTTGGAATGTCAGTATAATGGAATGCAAAACAACAACTTTAAATGATAATTACTTTTTGAAAGACTTAATTTCTGTCCTGTATTATTTTAATGATACAGTTATTAGGGATGTGCAAAATGTTTCAAATTCAAATGCTTTTGAATTTAAAGTACCCCTTTTAGAGTGCAGCTGCTTGGATCATTTTGGAAGTGTTTCAAGCTCAGACAGTACAGAGTTTTTGATGTGAGATGGGGCATTTTGTACTTGGCACAGGCCATTTTAAAATGAACTTCAAATTTAAAAAATGCATACACATCCATGCAGTGCACTTCTTGGACTTTGTGTAAATGTAATGGACAAGTCTTTACAACAAAGCAGTTATAAGACAGTAAATCCATTATAAGACAATAAATCCATTATAAGACAATAAATCCATAAAAGTTCATATGTAAGATGGTTACTGCAACTTTCGGTTCTGTACCAATGAGTGTATTGCATTAAAATCTCACTAAGCATCTAATCTTTTGCATCCACACATGCCAATAAGTGAATCATGGTGCCTTTCCCAAGCCTTGTATGAACAGGATTGGGGTAAGGGATTTCTTTATTTGTATCACTAAACTGTTGCTTGCAGCAAGCTTTATAAAGTAAATTATATGCTTCTCAGGCAATATCTAAAGTGGGGGCTTTTAATTCATTGCAATTAAATCCTTCAATGCTTTGAAATATTTGGCTCCTTGTTGTAGAATTTGCTTGTAGGTAATATATTGCATATTAATTTCATGCTAAATTTTAGCATTATTAGCATTAAATATTTTTATTAGGAAACACTGAATATGCACTGCAATCAGTATTCAATTCTTCCTTGCCTGTGAAATTTATATTTCCTAAAACAACACAAAACATTTAGTGATCACAAATTTTCTTTTCTATATTTAGACAGTATAGGCTGCTTGAAGGTAGGACATTATAGTTTTGATTAGTATGGTTGTATTTTACTGTTGTGTACTCACATTTCCTGCATATTGAAATGAACAAAATGAATATTTCTTAGTCTGTATAGCCTTGTTCCATGCTGCTTTCATCACTTAATGTGGTTGAAGAAATCATTTAACATGACATGGGTGACGTAAGAGAAAGAGATAAAGATAGCTTTTACTGTATCAACTCTGGTTATTTTTTTTAAAAAAACTTTTTAGCATGCCTTCGAATTACACATAATCAAAACAAGGAGTTACAGTACCTTAGAGCTGGAATTTAAATATTTTAAAGGAAGTTATCTCAAAAGGGAATTGCAAATTGGACACATCTTTCTTTTATCAGTTCAAGAGGAAAGAGAAAATATATTGTTGAGCTCTCACAAAATATAATTATGTGGTTCATCATTCATCCTTTCTTTCTCATGTTGATACAGTATATGTTTAGATGACAGACTGACGGAAAGATAGGAAATAAATGAGATTATTTTACTAGACCAGTTGGAGTAAGGACCTCTCTCCTTGTTAGGAAAAAAATTCAAAGTTTCCCACAATCTTTTTGTGTTACCACAAGCAAATAAAACATGACATCCAATATTTACTTTCACTTAGTTCAGCAGTTCTTGATGGAAGACTTCTGTGCTCAACATGGGTTAGAAAATTTGATGAAGTTCTTTAAAACAGAGTTGGAGCAGTAAAAGTGAATCCTCTGTATTCATTTATTCAATTCATAAGATTTCTTTGTATAATATGTTTAGAAGACCTCAATATGAATTGTGGTTTTGTAAACATATTACAATTACACTGTTGATGTAAGCTTGTCAATTCAGATGAAACCTAATTACATTTCTCCTTATCACAATATAAATAATAATAGTTACTTATAATTGCTTATTAATTATCAAAAAGCAGCAGACCAATTTGATGAGCCTGTATCTTTAATTCTACCATTTCAAATTGCAGGAAGGCACAGAGTGCTTTTTGTTTTTGTTTGGTTTGGTTTTGTTTTAAATGGGAATGAACATATATTCTTTGGTTGGATGTGGACTGGGATAGGCAACTTGGTGTGTGCCTTATATTTTGGATTTCAAATCCCATTGGCCCTACAGTGGTGCTTAAAAGTTTGTGAACCCTTTTGAATGCTCAATATTTCTGCATATTATGACCTAAAATGTTATCTGTTCTCTACACAAGTCCTAAAACTAAACAAAGAGAACCCAGTTAAACAAATGAGTCAAAAACATTATACTTGCTCATTGAGGAAAATGGTCTGAAGCTACATATTTGTGTGTGGCAAAAGTGTGTGAACCTTTGCTTTCAGAAACTGGTATACTACCCTTGGACAATAATAACTGCAACTAAACATTTGGATAACTGATGATCAGTCCTGCGCATCAGTTTGGAGGAATTTTAGCCATTGCTCCTTATAGAACAGCTTCAAGTCAGGGATGTTGGTGAGCTTCCTCACGTGAACTGTCTGCTTCAGGTCCTTCCACAACATTTCTCTAGGATTAAGGTCAGGACTTTGACTTGGCCATTCCAAAACATTAACTTTCTCCTCCTATAACCATTCTTTGTTCATATGAATTATGTGTTTCGTGTGGTTGTCTTGCTGCATGACCCACTTTTTCTTGAGCTTCAGTTCACAGATAGATACCCTGACATTTTCCTGTAGAATTTGCTGGTACAATTCAGAATTCATCATTCCAACAATGTTGGCAAGCCATCCTGGTCCAGAGGCAGCAAAGCAGGCCCAAATCATGATGCCCTATTTCACAAATGGGATAAGGTTTTGATATTGGAATGCAGTGTCTGCCTTTCGCCAAACATAACACTTTTCATTCAAGCCCAAAAAGTTCTATTTTGGTCTCATCTGTTCCCAGAACATTCTTCCAATAGCCTTCTGGCTTATCCACATGGTCCTTCACAAACTGTAGATGGCCAGCTCATATCTGTATTGGAGATAGTCGGAAGTCACTTTCCATTTCATCTTTCTACTTAATCTCTCTATTTTAGTTTTTGTCTTTTTCTTTTAGTTCTATCTTCTTTCCTTTCTATACTTTCTGATTTGTATTTTAACTGTACTTTTTATATATCTTAATAAAAGTTTTAATTAAAAAACAAACAAACTGTAGATGGCTAGCAAACTTCTTTTGGAGAGCAGTGACTTTCTCCTTGCTACCCCACCATACACACCAATCTCTCTATTTTAGTTTTTGTCTTTTTCTTTTAGTTCTATCTTCTTTCCTTTCTATACTTTCTGATTTGTATTTTAACTGTACTTTTTATATATCTTAATAAAAGTTTTAATTAAAAAACAAACAAACTGTAGATGGCTAGCAAACTTCTTTTGGAGAGCAGTGACTTTCTCCTTGCTACCCCACCATACACACCATTGTTGTTCAGTGTTTTCCTGATGGTGGTCTCATGAACAGTGACATCTGGCAATCCAAGAGAGACATTTAGTTTCTTAGACATTACTCTGGGGTTCTTTGAGACCTCCCAGAGTACTATATGCCTTGCTCTTGGTGTGATCTTGGTTGGTTGGCCACTTCTGGGGAGCATAACAATGGTGTTGAATTGCCTGCATTTGTACATGTCTGAGAGTGGATTAGTGGAGCCCAAACCCTTTGGAAATAGTTTTGTAAGCTTTTCCAGCCTGCTGTGCATCAACAACTGTTTCTCTGAGGTCCTCAGAAATCTCCTTTGTTCAAGCCATAACACACTTCCACCATACCTGTACTGTGTTGATCAAATTTTGATAGTCAATGCCCAGAATTCTGTTCTTTAAATAAGGCAGGACTTCCCACACTCACACCTGATTATCATCCCATTGATTGAAACATCTGTCTCTAATTTCCTCTTCAAATGATCTGATAATCCTAGAGGTTCATCTACTTTTGCAAACACAAATATGTAGTTTAGGTCATATTTATGGAGAAATATTGAAAATTCAGAAGGGTTCACGAACTTTTAAGCACAACCTGGCCAATGGACAGGATGGTGAAAGTTGTAGGGCGACTAGTTGCCTACCCTAAACCTGGGCTTAATTAATCATACTTTATCTTTGTTTCAAGCTTTCTTGCTGAATAACTTAAGCAGTCAAGTGAGCCTATCTCATGTCTGGAGTGGCAGTTACATAGGCTTATTTCTGTTTTTTATGAAAACTAGACTTAAATTATAGTTGAATTGCTTAAAGATAATTAGTGCAATAGTAAATATTTCCTGCTTTCCAGAAGATAGTGAAGGTCAGAGTATGTTCAATTCAGCGGAGATGTATTTTATATATCTAGGTCAGCCTGTAATCTGATGCCTTCCACCTGTGTTGGATTACTGGCATACTCATTTTGGAAGTTAGACAGATGTCTAGAGAGTACCAGCTTGCAGAAGAAGTTCTAGATTAAAAACAATGGCCACATCCTGTGAAAATGGTAAAAATGTAGAAATTTAAAATCTTTTCTTGGAAACAATTATGTTAGTATACCAAAACAAAGAGAACACCTTACTTCAGAACTAGTTTTATAGTTTTGTTTTAAGATAAACATTGAATGAATAAAAAGTGAACATGGATACTGTAAATTGGTGTGTGTGTGTGTATATGTATAGACATACAATTTATTTATGAGATGATATGCCATTTTATTGGAATTGACTACTTTGAATAAAAATAACATGTATTTCTGCTTATATGTTAGAATGCCTGAGATGCATACGATTTTACTTTTTAAGAACCAGAATGTGTTCCTATGTTGTGTTGTGTCCTTATGTTTTTCATGTTCTTTTCTTCAGCTCTTTGTCTTTCTGCTTGCCTAGCATTTTTCTTGGTGTTGTGTGCTTGCAGTTGTAGCAAAACAGAATTGCATGTCGCTGGATTATTGCATTTGAATAGTGAATCCTAATTTGTATTGGAAATATTCCTGGCTACTCTGCTTATGGATTTAAAAATGTATTTCCTTTAATTGATTCCTCACATGTTTATTTATTTAAAACTGCCCAATAGCTAAAGTTCTCTGGTCAGTTTACAATTAAGCACACTAAGAGATGTACAATAAAATCAAAATGCAAAAATGAAAACACTGTACAAACTAGGTGGCAGCAAGAGTCTTTCAAAATCTAAAACAACAAAAATTAAAATACAATTAAAAACAAATTTAAAAGCTTGGGAAAATAGAAAGGTCTTCACCTGGCATTGAAATGAAGCTAATGTGCACACCAGTTGAACTTCTCTGGGGAGAGAATTTCATAAATAGTGTGTCACCACAGAAAAAGCTGTCTTCCTTGTAGAGATCCATTTCACATCCTTTGACAAGGAACAGTCTTAAGGAAAGCCTTACAGGAAAAGGCACTTCTTCAGGTAATCTGGTCCTAAGCCATTTAGGCTATAAACTTCAAAACAAGCACTTTGAATTGGGACCAGAACCAGACTGGCACCCAGTGTAAATAGCAAAGTACTGGTGTAATATATTCATATTGACCAGTCCCAGTGAATAGTCTAGCCAGTCTGTTTTGAACTAAGTGAAGTTTCTGGACCATTTTCAAAAGCAGCCCTTACATACAAAACGTTGCAATAATTCAGCCAGAAAAAAATCTCAGAGGATGAATAATTGTTGTAAGGCTGTCTCTGTCCAATTAAAGGCACATCAGCTAAAGCAAATCAAAGGCGCTCTGTGCCACCTGGGCCTCTCTAATGATGACACATCTAGGAGCAGGCCCAAACTGCAAATCAGCTCTGTTAGGTCAAGTGTGGACCCCTACAGGACAGGCAGGGCACCACTCAGCTGGAGAAATCTACCACTCACAAACTATCTCAATCTTGTCTGGATTGAATCTCAGTTTATTGGCCCTCATCCAATCCATTACCCTGTATAAGCGCTGATTCAGGAAGCCTGCCCCTTATTCACTGCAGGGCTTAAACACAGTATATTAATTAATTAATAACCATCACCACCACCTCCAGCTATCATTAGGTTGTGTTATCTTGACTTCTTTCCTTTTCTCCCTTCTAAAATGTGACATATGTAACAGTGTTATAACCTTGTGCTGTGTAGCTTATCTGTCAAAGACAATATTGTGTAATAGGAATGATGGAGTATAAATTTAAAAATATAGAAGTGTAGATTTAATTGTGTATTAATTTTTGGCAATGCCACACTTTAAATGCAATTTTGAATCAAAAGTTAATTATTGACTATGCTTTATAAAATACAAGTTAATATGTGATAGTACTTTTGTGCTCTACTTAATTCTAGCCGCAGAAATGGGCAAAAACTAAGTGCATTAATACTAATTTAAAAGTAAATATGCATGGAATCACACCGGAATGTCTGTTTTATTTATATATGGCAGAGTCCTCACAATGTATCTGATTTTTTTTTTGCAAACATATTTCATCTTTCTGTCTTGAAAAAGAACCTTTAAAGTTACTAAAAACTACATTTAAAATATCTGTTAGACTAGCATTAAACATAAAAAGCCAAACAATTAAAACTAGCAGATATGCCAGTTGTGCCCTTTCCTGGATGGGGGATGCTCTCAGACAGGTATTCATGCCTTAATCACTTCATGGCTTGGCTGCTGCAATGTGCTGTACATTGGGCTGCCTGTCAGCCCCACTAGGTAGACCAGACCAGGAAATCAACTCCACAGAAAGGTTAAAACTACTTTATTTGAGATTTTCTATAATAACAGAATCCTGTAAGTCTGATTGTGCTCCACCCCATTCCACCCTGCATCTTTGTTATGCTCTAGTAATTCAGGGAAGTGTCTGCTTGAGTCACTTCCACATGTTATCTCCTTTTTCTGGATTTAAAATATGTTTTAGACCCTTTTGCCTAGGAAATGGTTCATACATATTTCCATTAAGGCCACTTCCTTTGTTCTCCATACAGCCTCTTTCACTTCATAATTATATCCAACATCTTTTTTCATACTTCTCATTAGTATAACTCCATATTTTGGTTGCAGTTTATAACATATTTCTTTTAATTTCGTTCTATGCAGCTTCTACATCCTTATTCCTTCCATTCATATTCCAGTCATAATTTAGCTTCATAAAGGGTTTTCATAAAGTACTCATACTTCTACCTGCAGTTATTCTACTTCATTTCTAAATTTCTTTCGCTTTCCTTTTGTTGATACTACCAAATAATGATCTGTCCTACATTGAGAACCACATGATCCTTGTATCATTCATTAATTGTTTTAGTCTTTTATCATAAACTGTCAAATTTAGATTGCTGCTTTGCCATGGGTACAGAAGTTTAGATTTATGCTTAAAACACATATTCAAAATAATACATATTTTAAGGAGGTACTCACCAGTCATCATATTCTTATTAATTTTTAGGTGTCCAAATGGCCCAGTCACCTTTTCTGTCTCATTCCCACCCTTCCATTCATGTCTGTTACCAAAATAATTTTTCCCGTTCTAACTCATTCATTCAGAATGTTGCAGTGTTTCTCCAAAATGCAGTGGATTCCTCCATTAAATCTGTTCACTGGATTGTAACATGCAGCTAGCACCAATGTATGAATTCCTATTCCACACCCATGATAACGTAAATGATACTAATGTATACTTTCTGACATATATTTGAGTCCTTTTCTTCACAATTCAATTTATACTTTCACTCAACATTTGTTTATCTACCTAACTCCATAAGATTAGACCACCTTCATTCAGATCTATTACATCTGTCCCTTTTCTCTTAGTTTCACATATACACAATTTATCTCGTTTTCATTTATTTATTTCATTCATTAATTCATGCTCTTTGCCATTTTCTTCTCTTATGTTCCAGATCAGAATCTGTCATATGCTGTGGTCATCATAAATGTTGGCCTCTACTGCTCATCATGACTTTAGTAAGATGGATATTTATCTTACTAAAGATTAGTATCTTTTTAATAAGATAAATTATAGATTAGTGTACCAGATCAAGTGATAGGTGTGCCACTTGAAGCATTCCTTGATAATGGTATGAACAATATTGGCTTCTTTTTTGTGTGTGCATATTTTGGCCAATATTCTACAAGCATAAGCAAAGCCCAGTTACATCCAAGTATGCTTACAATATTACACTAAGTATGTAACCCAAGTCTCTAATTTAGAAACTATCTTACAAGCTAACATACTGTTCCCACCAATTTGATGGTATAGGTAGTCCCCAGCTTAAGAATGAGTTCCATTCCCAAGGTCTGTCCTTAAGTCGAATTTGTACGTAAGCAGGAACAGTATTATTGTGCAATGAACTCAAACCATTGTGTATTTAACTCAAATCATTATGTATTTAACTTGAATTTTGCTACAGTAGGTTCCATTCTTAGCTGTGGGTCATCTGTAACCTGGGCGTTCTTAACCCAGGGACTACCTGTAAGTGAATTTTATTGACACTCACTTAGGAGATTAACAAAATGGATACTAAATACAAAGCAGAACCTAGTGCTTTTTAAAAAATTAATTCAGTAATTCAGTGAGAACATAATCTCTGTTTGAAAATTTTAATTCTAGCCTGAATTTTCACAATGTAATTGTTATATCTTCTGGGGGTTTTTTCCTAGCATTTGAAGAGCTTGAGAAGACTTTAAGTGCAGCTCAAAGGGCTGAAGAAACACGCAAGAAATTGCAAGCAGAAATGGATGAAAAAATCAAAGCTGTTGAAAAAGCAAATGAAGAAGAACGTGTGACCCTTCAACAGGAATTAACAAGGGTGAAGCAGGAAGTAGTTAGTATTATGAAGGTAAATATGGAATTTAATTGAAATAAAATATGAAAATCAATATAGATTCAGAATTAATCATGATAATACTGCAGGTAGTCCTCAACTTATGATGGCAATTGGGACAGGAATTTCTGTCACTAAGCGATGCAGTGGTAGAGTGTGACCACATCACTTAGCAACAGCAATCCCTGCTGTCCCAGTTGCTGTCATTAACTGAATCCCACAGTCGTTAGGTGAGGCAACTTCCTGCTGGCTTCCCACAACTAAAATCAGTGAGGAAGCTGGCAGGAAGTTCCAAGTCCCAGGCCTGTAGGCAGGTAAACCGCCCAGAGCTGCTCATTGAGTGAGATGGGTGGTGAATAAATTTGAAATACAAATAAATAAAAATATAAATAAATGACTGCTGTCAGGTGGGGGGAGGAAGCAGGGTAGTGCATGGAGGTGCAGGGGAGGGTCAGGGAGGGTGTACAAGAGATGTGGCTTGGTGCAGGGAGGTTGTGAGAGGTTGTATGAGAAGCACCATGCAGGTCAGTGAGGGTGCGTGGGTGTGTGCAAGAGATGCGTGAGTCGGGGAGGGTTCATGAGGGTGCGATACAGGTTGGGGAGGGTGTGCAAGGGGCGCTCTACAGTTCCAGGAGAGTACATGGGAGTATACAAGTGGCTGGCACAGCAGGAGCACAGAAGGGCTGGGGTAGGGTGCGTGGGTGGGTGGGGGAGACTTACCCCAGCAACTTGTGACCTTCCCTGCTGGCTTCCCCATTGACTTTCTGGGAAAGCCGGCAGGAAAGGTTGCAGATGGCAATAATGTGATCACAGGGCGCTTGACAAACAGTTGTAAGTGTGAACAGGTTGCCAAGCACCCAGATCGTGATCATGTGACCACAAGGGTGCTGGGGTAGCCGGAACTCCATGGGCCGGTTGTAACCACCTTTTGTTCAGTGCTGTCATAACTTGGAACAGTCGATGAACAAATGGTTGTAGGTTGAGGACTACCTGTAACAGAATCTAGTTTTTATTTTATATTTTTGGCTTTAAATTTGCAGAAATCTTCAGAAGATCGATTTATTGAGTTGGAGAAATTACATAAAAATGAACTGGCCAGCAAAGATAAGACAGTAAATGACAGATTACAAATTCAAGAACAGAAATTCCAGGAACAAATGAAAACAGCTCTTGTAAGTGTCTCTAAGTATGAAGCAAAATCCTCATATATACATGGAGATATATCAGAATAAACAGACCATACATCTTTTATTTACTTACAGTTGTAAGTAAATGTGTATATATACTGTACACACACACACACACACACACACACAATTTATAGAGACAGACAGACAGACAGACAGACAGACATGTACTATTTTTCTACAAAGGTTATGTGATCCAGATTCTAGAGTGCTTTAAAAATAGGAAAATAAAAGAAATAACAGTTTGGGCTTTTTGAAAACAATATAATTAAATTTCAGTAAAAGGAATAGCGGAACAGCTTTTGACTGCCAAAAAGGGATAAAAAGACTGGTGTTCGTTAGGCCTCTGTGGGAACAACATTGTAAAACAGAACACTACCACTGAGATTTTTGATTGTGTTCACACAACATGCTAAACTAAAAAGTATGATAATGAATTTCTGCCACCAATTTCCCCATCTCTAGTTGTATATGCTACACTCTGTGGCTTACTGTAAGTTTCCATAAATTGGGATGTGTGATCTATGACAAACCTTGAAAAGAAATCCTAGTTCTTGGAAACCCTAAATGGCTCTTTTGGGTTTGGATAATACAGTAAACTACAATGCTTAATTAAAAAAAAAAAAGGTTTTGTTTACTAAGATTTGTGTGTATGTAGGAAAAAATGGGGATATACAGTCAGGTTCAGAAATATTGGGACATCGACACAATTCTAACATCTTTGGCTCTATAC